CGCCGGCCCCGGCGGGTGTACCCCAGCCCCTGCAGCGGAGCATCGAGCGAGGGCTCAGCCTCTCTCCTCCCAACCTGCCTTTTCCCTCATTCCTAATCTCTCATTTCTTCCACCTATACGTTCTTCTCAGAGACTAAACGACTTTTGTAACAAAAACTTTAATGTAAAAAGAAAAGTATGATCTATTTGAAGCCCTAGAATTCTTTTCCAGAAACTTGAGAGACAAATCTAGTCGCTGTGGCACGTCTCCACCACAAATCCAGCTTTTCACTGACTGCTTCAGGAGGCATTTTTAGCAACTTTTCATTTTGGACAAAGACCCTATAATACTGGGGGAAAAAAAAAAAAATCCACTTTATGGGGCTTTAGATCCAGCCATAAGCAGCGCGCCAGGTTTGTTGGATTTGCTTTGCCCTACAAAAGGTGGGAAGTACAGGCGGTACCGACCGCTGAGCGCCGGTGATCCCGGTACACGGCTCGGCCCGCGGATCCAGGAGAGCATCACCGAAGCTGCACCACGGCTCTTCGCACACCGACAAACTGCCCCGTGTCCCGCAGACACACCGACCTCGGCAAAACCAACCCAGACCAGAGACAAAAAGGTAATTTCTCATCTGGCATTTCCTGCCCTGAGTGACAGATGCCGAACTCCACGGATCTCCTTTCCCCTCCCTAGAAACAAGCATTGAAGTTGAGTTTTTTTTTTTAAGTCGAACTCAAAGATTTAGGGGTGCATTGAAAAATCCAACATGTGGAAGCGAGGTGGCTCCTTCCTGGGGCGTGAGATGAGCCTGGAGCCGGCGCAGGCTCCTGCAGCCCTGCTGCTGTGCCATCCAGCCGCGTGCCATGGGCAACCCACCCTGCCCCACTCCAGACACTCACATGGCCAGAACCAAGTACAAGAATTCCGATATACCATTCAAAAACATCCATACGCAAAACCATGAGGAAATCCCCAAACACAGCCGTGCTGGTACTGGATTGAGCGAGGAGGGAATGAGGGGGGGGATCAGCAGGGATGCGCAGTGCCAGGGAACACGTGCTGAGGGATAACGCTCAAAGGTGGCTGCTCCGACCTGGCACAGCCCTGGGCAGTCCCTGTCCTGCCATGCTCAGCAATTCCCAAAGCTCTGGACAGGCCGGTGGCACCTGGGAAAGGAAACCCAGGAATGGCTGTGGGTTTTTGGTTTCTGGAAACGGCAAAACAGTAAGGAGTGGCAGGAAAAAAAACGGAGGGCTGGAGCACCTCTGCTATGGAGACAGGCTGAGAGAGTTGGGGCTGTTCAGCCTGGAGAAGAGAAGGCTCCAGGGAGACCTTCCAGCAGCCTCCCAGTACCTAAAGGGGCTACAGGAAAGCTGGAGAGGGGCTTTGGACAAGGGTGTGTAGTGACAGGACACAGAGCAATGGATTTAAACTGAAAGAGGGGAGATTTAGATGAGATCTCAGGAAGAAATTCTTCCCTCTGAGGGTGGTGAGGCACTGGATCAGGTTGCCCAGAGAAGCTGTGGCTGCCCCATCCCTGGAAGTGTTCAAGGCCAGGCTGGATGGGGCTTTGGGCAACCTGGTGTAGTGGAGGGTGTCCCTGCCCATGGCAGGGGGGTTGGAACTGGATGATCTCTAAGGTCCCTTCCAATCCAAACCATTCTGTGACCCCTTGGCCCCCTCCCAGGTCTAAGGCAGGAGCTGCCATCGGAGCAGGGACCATCAGAGCAGGAACCTCATGGCTCAGCAGCTGTGGCCCATGAAAAGCCAAGAAGAAGGGAAAGAAGGAGCCAACCCCCTGGTCACCACTGCCTCCACCCCTGCTGCCTGCCGCTGCTGTGGCATCCCGCTCACCAAACTGGGGTTTGCTCCACAAGCCCCAGCCCGTGCTTGGCGGCCAGACAGCACCATCTGGGGCCACTTGGGTCTTCGCT